CTTACATATTTACATTAAGGACAATGGTTACTATAAACAGAGTACTGTACAGTTATTAAATTAAATAAAAATAACTACAGGTAAGAGGCGAACCAGGTTGTAGTGCGAATCGGTTAATTAACGTATTGCAGTTACAGCATTGATGTAAACATCTATGTTTATTAACCTATTTCTAGCGAAATTATCTAAAGTAAACCTCCACATTTTCCACACAGGCTCAAAAAGCACTTCATTTCATGGTAGAGAGATGACGCGCAGCATTTATTTTATCAAACAGAATAGTAATTAAAGAGATACACAGGAGTGTCTCTCTCAAATGTTTATTCACTGCTCCAGGCATCAGTGACTCTTTGTTACGAAATTAACTTTGCAAAACTGCAGAATCTTACTTTGCATTATGAGACTAAGCTGATTAAATGACAGCTCCTACAAACAAGCATAAAGGTCAGAAGAAGAATAAAGTAGCAGAGAAAGTGATAAAGCAGGTTTTAGGCTTGAAATCCATACAGTGAGAATTTTATATGAAGTGTGTCCGCTCTGTTACACTGCACCGGGAATTTTTATTCAATTGGGTTTGTGCCTCATTATGCACATTAAATCTGAAATAAAATAATAGATGATATAATAAAGTGTCAAGTCTCACTTGTAATTTCAGTGCTTCAATATTGAAAGAAGGGTTTGAAAGAGATAGCCACAGAGGTGTAGTGCGCTGATTGCAACAATTCAAAAATAAGTGGATAAGTGGTCAGTAATTTTTCTTGGGTGCTGTATGTCTCAGAGTTGAACTACGATTCTGTTGAGGTGGATGTATTGTTTAGTATAAGAGGGAAAAAAGGTGATCATTCAAGTAAAGAAGGTAGAGAAGCTAATAATAGCCAGCAAATAATCCTGAAAATGGATCAGCCAGTTATAGGTACATCCAGAAAAGTGAGTAGTCACAAGAATACTACAAAATGGCAAAGAACCTATTAGACCAAGGAGTACAATTCTTTTGAATAACCAGAAAACCATTTGTCCTGCATGAGCAGAGCCTCAGAGGATTGAAATTCAAAGCTCTAGTAAGTCTGAAAAACAGAAATACCAGGTTGTAGTCGGCAAACATTTAGAGTAGAAACTGGAAGAGAAACTGGTGGAAAACGTTTTGTGAACTGATGAAACAAAAGTACACCTCTATGAAAATGAGAGAAAGGGGAAAGAAAATTTCTTGTAGTCTTTGGAATAAGCATACTGGCATTTATTAATATTTATGGTAGAACCAACAGGATAAATCCCAAGGTGTAAAAAAAGCTTTCTGTGTGCTTCAATTTAGCCAGTTGCTTAAAAACTCAGAAAAATGTAATCTTTCAGCAAAGCAAATATGCATAGCTGTTAAGGGAAGGTGAAGATGAGAAATATCTGATTGTCTGAGTCAATCACCTGGTCTCAGCCTGATTGATTTGCAGTCTGCTTCCTGAGGACCACAACAAAAGGGAGCTGCAGAAAAAGTCCTGGAAAAAACATCACTAGAGAATACACAACGTTGTTCTCTGGTTATGGTCAGACTATTACATACACTCATCACAATTTCTTTCAACTGCTCATTTTCCAGTACAGGATGATTGGCCAGTGTACATCTTCAATGACTTTAAAAAATAAGAATTTGGTGCAGAATTCTGAATGTAT